ATTTCAAAATGCTTCAGTCATTTATTTGTCATGGAAGTTGCTGCTTTTTATTATGTGCTGTTTTTATTATTGATGTACATGGCTTATATCCCTCCTTGGGATTTAGGCTCCTTGAAGACTTTCTCAAGATGTCCATGAAACGTAATAGAAAGAACATAGACCTGGAGTTCAGATAGTCCCATTTCTAGTTTCTAGCTCTATCATTTACTCACTATGTGTCTTCAAATGAGGTGTTTATTTAATCTTCATAAACTTCAGCCTTCTTACCTATGAAATGACCATACCACAGTTCATTAAAAAGATTATTAAGTGATAGAGGAGGTAACTGATTTAAAGAACCTAGCAAAGTAAGGTTCCCTTTCTTAATCATCTTCATTTCTGTGCCAGTACCCAGAATGTTACCATATAAATATTAGGTGTTCCAAAATTGCTAAATGAATTAGTAATTTTTTTTTTTGCCATTACTAAATATATAAAACTACTCTTATTTCTAGGCTGCTGGTATTTTTTTGTTTGTTTTTTTTGTTTGTTTGTTTTTTTGTGTGTGTGTTTTTTTTTTTTTTTTTTTTTTTTGAGAAATTCTCTTTTCCATTAGGGAGTACTTGTTGCAGATGTACTAGATAAAAAAATATATGCAATACAGAAATATCTGGTGGATAAATGTTGATGTCATGCAAACTATATTAAAATTCAAATGAAATATAACTGTGAGGAAAACAATTGCTTAGAGTTAGTAACAGTTTATAAAAGCCATTTCTTTTACCATTTAAGCAGAGACTAGGCTTTGAGGAAGCCAAGACAATGCTGTCTGGACTCTAAAGTAAGCCCATAGTTTGGCAGTATATGTCATCATATACTGCCAAACTTACAATTTTAGTTCTCATTTTAACATATTTAAATATATTCTGATGCCAGTGGGTAGGATGATATTCCAGAGAATGTAAGATTGGGAATCCTAAAATTAGACTGTAATCTAAGGATTGTTTTAAAAACTTATACTTCATTTCAAGAGTTACTACTAACCATTGGTGTTGCTTGAATAGTCTCAAAGATTTTGACAACATTGTAAATCTTTAATCACTTGAAAAATTTATCATAATGAAGCAATTTTTAATAATCTGTATATACCTACCCTTCTCTGTCTCACCTTGTCATTTTTTAGTTTTTATTCATCATTGCTGAGTTTGTATATTATATGGCTACATCAACAGTATGTCTAAATCTTTGACTATTTAAAGATAGATTTTTAGAAGCCAGCATTATGCATTCATTGCCCTTTTAAAATGAACAGAATTGGTTGCTGTATATAGTAGAGATAACATTCATTTGTGCTAAATAATATAATAAAGAACTATGCCCATATGACAGACAACTCTTAACAGTGGTGCTATTTTAAATAGATGACCTAAATCATAAGTTACCATTTGTTGAATATGTAAAGTGTGCTCAATATTTTACATACCTTATCCCTAACTTATAGTTGAATAAACTGAATCTCAGAGAAGTTAAGTAGCTATTCTCAGGTTACCTGGCTAATCAGTGATAGAGTTGGCTTTTAAATCAGTACTTTCTGAATCCAAAGTTAAGTCTTGTAATAGCTATGTTCTACTCCCTCTAAAGTGGTGTCTTAAACAATATATACTTTCTTTGCCTCATTATTTGTATATGTCAAATTATTCTCATAACTAGTTTGGCTAGCCTAGAAATGCAACATTTCCTCTTCAACTCTCAAGATAATCTCTACCTCAAAGACCTTAGTCTTTGGAAAACATCATCTAAATGACTGAACTACTTAACAAATTGAAAACCATAAAATGTAGCATAATAAAAAGATAGGAATGTTTGGTGGAGTAAATGGAAGATATGTTTGCTGTTCCCTGTGCAGTGACTACCCAGTTACATTTTTATATCATGCTGAGTAAATATGGAATTTCTACAGTTGTGTTCATACAGCTTTAAGAAATAGGAAGTAATTGTACTTATCTGAGAATATGTATTGAGAGCCTAAACTGAGCATTGATGGTTAGAATCAAGAGGAGCTGTTATATGTGAGAGAGATTAGAAAATGATGTACTTCAACACTGATTCAATGAAAGAAAAGGGGAAAGAGTCCAAGGGAAATTTAAATTCTGATCATTAGAAAGATTATGGTTCCATGATCAAATAGAGACTTAAGGAAGAATGAACAAATGTGGGCAATAAGGAGAGGATTTCAGGTTTGGACATAAAGAATTTGTGATTATGTTGAGATGTCCAGACTGCTGTTTCTCTAGAGTCGAGTTCTTGAAATGAGGCTAGTCTGAATTGATATTTGCTGTAAGTGTAAAATGCACACTGGATTTTAAAGACTTAGTACAAAAAGAGAATGTAGAATATCACATTAATATTCTTTATATTGGTTGCATTTTAAAATGGTAATATTTTGGATATGTTAAGTATTTAAAAATTAATGTTTCCTTTTAGTTTTTAAATCTGGCTACTAGGAAACTTAAAATTTTATGTGTATTAGTCTGTTCTCACACTACTAATAAAAATGTACCCAAGACTGGGTAATTTATAAAGAAAAGAGATTTAATTGACTCACAGTTCTGCATGGCTGGGGAGGCCTCAGGAAACTTAAAATCATGGCAGAAGGCACCTCTTCACAGTGTGGCAGGAGAGAGAATGAGTGCCAGCAGGGGAAATACCAGACTCTTATAAAACCATCAGATCTCATGAGAACTCACTCACTATCATGAGAACCACATGAGAAAAACTGCCCCCATGATCCAATTATTTCCCACCGGGTCCCTCCTACAATGCGGGGTGATTATGGGAACTACAATTCAAAATGAGATTTGGGTGGGGATATAGCTAAACTATATCAGTATGTGTCTTACCTTAAATTTCTGAGTTAATCTACACAGAATTTATAATAGATAGAAATGGAGGACCATAATCAAGGCAAAACATTTAGATTTGGAAATACCTATATAGGAGTGATAGTTGATGTTATGAGATTAGACTAAAATGCCAGTGTATAAAGAATAGTGATGAGAAAAATGTCAACAATTATAATATGGTAAGAAAAAGAATAACTAGGAGAATAATTGGAGATTAATAATGCTAAAATGGTATCTAAGCCTGCCTGGGATAGAATTCCAAGAAGAAAGGAGAAGGAAGTACTAATTAACATCATTGAATGATAGAGGCCATATAAGAAGAGGAGGAATGAGAAAAGGCCATTGAATTTGGTTGATATTGAAGCAGTTTCAGTAGAGTATATGAGGGATAGATGGCAAGAATTTAAGAAGTTAGAGGTTGATAAAGCAGACTGTATATGTAAACTATTCTTTCAAGAATGAAGTCCATTTATGAAGATAATAATCACTTGATCTGAGCCTAGTCCAGAGAAATTTGAGCCTGTTTGTTTGCTGAATAAATGGATCAATGAAGTGGGAGTGCTTGAAATTGCAAAAGAGAGAAGATAATTTCTATAATAAGATCCTAAAGCATTGGATCCCAAACCTAAGTACATACTGGAATCATCTGGGGAATTTGTTACAAGGGCAAATTTCCAGGCAGCATTCCACATCTAAAGTTAATATATTCCCTGGAGGTTTGTCTTCCCCACCATGTTGCTAGCAAGTTCTTCCAGGTGATTTATGATATATCCATAGGACAAACAAGTCAAGGAAATTATGGGTGCTGATGAGGTCATCAGTGGAATAACTGGTCACAGCATCCAGTATGGATAGACAGCCAATTAGGGCTAGAATGGGGCTGATGGATCATGAATTACAGTTAAGCAATTGGCTTTTGTTATTATGGGAGTACATGCAAATTTAGTAGGCATGAAAGGCTGAAAAAGTTAAAAAGGTAGTGGATTTTGATCACTGAGGGAAGTTTCAGAATTCAGGATCTTGGAGGCCAAGCAGATGCAAAGTGTAGCTGTGTGTCTGATGTGGAAAAAAGATGAAAAGAACTAAGTTATACATGTCATAAGGCCTAGTAGTTTGGTAACTCTAATACAGGGCAGTTGGTAAAAAGGTATAGGATATGGGCTAAGGAAGAAGCACTAAAGGTTAAATCAGATAGGTGATTATCTAGACTTCAGATTCCACTAAACATTGGCTTGAATATCTTTGATAACCATTTTCAGAGTGGAATGCCTGCTTGGGTTTATAGTTTTTGAGTTTCCATAATTTACTCTAGATGTTGTTGAAAATACAGTGGGTACATTCATAGATAATATATGCACAGTCTTGAGTAGTCACAAGTAACCCTAAGGGTTTAGAATATGAGTAGTTAATAATTCTTTACAAGGCATGAATTTGAATCTCCTGACCTAAAACTGGCATGGAGAAACAAGTCACTTAGGTAGTGCCTTGTAGTGAAGTCAACATTTACTTCTAAGTTTGTCTTTAACACATGATTGTATTAATCATTAAACCTCATCCTGATAGATTTAACTACCAGCAAATTAAAAGGAAATTATATGCCAAACTATAGTATTAAATGAGTTTAAATCTTTGGTTTAAAAATCAAATGAGTTTTAAAAGTTTTTAGCATGATACCTAGCATGTAATAATTACTTAATAAATGGTAGTTACTGGTACCAGTTCAGGAATTCTACCAGTTTTGAAGCCAATTTGTTGTGTATGTCCATATTTAATAAGTAATATTTATATTAAAAATTTTGTTTTGATCCACTATTGCCATAAATTATTAAACTAAAACTAGACTGTTAAATTTGTTAGTGAATTAGGAAGATAACGGGTCATTTATCACTTATAATTTGATAGGGGATATATTTAATAGTAATTTATATTATTATTATGAAAAAATTTTAAAATCCTTTTAAGTTTCTATACCACAAGTATATGTACACAGCAACAAAATAAACGAATTACATTATTCACTTTATTTTTCTTAGCTGTAGTATACCAACAATTCTATTTTGCTAAATAACTTTTACTCTCAGTATATCATATACTTATATAACTCTTTTTGCTTTATAGTGAAGAGCTCAGAAAAGAAGCAAGACAGTTAAAACGGGAACTCTTAGCAGCAAAACAAAAAAAAGTAGAAAATGCAGCAAAACAAGCAGAAAAAACAAGTGAAGGTAAGGGCATTTATCGGGCTTATTTTTTCCGTTGATACTCTTCCTTCTCTGTTTTCTTAGCTCCTCCCTGCTCTCTCCTGTTTTCACCTCTTCACTTCTCCCATTCTTCTCATTTTCTCTTCCCTTCCTCTTTTCCTCCTCGAGTTTGGGTGCGCGCACTCCCACGTGTGTGTGTGTGTGTGTGTGTGTGTGTGTGTGTGTGTGTGTTTAATACATGCAAATGGGATGGTAACTATTGTTCTTAAGCATGCTTCATGAAAACTAACAGAATACTTGAAATCTTAAAACTTAAAGGTGGCCATAGCATCTGGATTAAAAGTACACAAGGGTGGAATATATATATTACATATTCTTTAAAGCATATTTTTGAAGTGTTTGGGCCCTATGTTTGGGACTGAGGTAAACATTTGTGTGTTGGTTTGAATAGTGTTAAATACCTAATCTTGTTTTTTGTTGGTTTTTGTTTTTACCCTTACATTAAGACGTAGAAAATCTAAAGTATTGTTAAAACTGATCAAAATAACATTCTGCTGTTTTATACAGGTCAGCTGGGTTCTTTGTTTCACTATGATTTTTATTAAGCTTCAAAAAAAGCTTTTCCATTGATGATCTTTAACTTAGTTTAAAATTGTTTCAGCTATAAAGCATGTAATATTCAGTTTCTAAAACAACGGCTTGGAACCCTCATCTGTTTTCTTTTTACAGTGATAAAATTGTATTGTACATTCAGTGAACATGATCAGAAATTTTATTCAATTGCCTCTTATAATGATACTAAATTTGATATCAGAAATTTTCTTTGTACATATATATTCTATATTTTCATGCTTTTGAAAGCCAGAAGTGTTTTATGTACCAGGTTCTGTTAACAGTCACTGGAGATATATTAAAGAATAAGATGTAGCATCTAGCTTTAAAGACTACATATTTTAATACAGAACAGTGGCACAATGTTTGGCCATAGATATTATTATTGTTTATTTTAAGTAGCACAAGTAATACCACATAACTATTTAAAGAGTATAGTTCTCAAATTATATGTACAAAGTCCCCAATGACTACTTTTGTAAAGACAGACATTATACATACTTCATGAAGAACTGAAAGTCACTGAAGTATATATTTGCATGAAACTAATGATTTAAAAATTAACTGAAACATAATGGCACAAATTATAAACTGAATTTAGAAGAAGGGATAAACTTATTTGGGACTAGATCATGTAGGCAAAATATAACTCAGAAACAACGTATTATCAGTAATGAGATTTGAAAGAAGTACAGTCAGGATTCTTTTATTTTTAGGTTTATAAGTGATTTTCTTAGAAGACTATTTCTTATTTTCTTATAATTAAAAGTATTTTAAATATATGAAAATGATTTCTTTCAACCAGAAAGATCTTTCAACTAGAAAGAATAAAATATAAAACTTAAATATTTTATTCACTTTGAAGCTAATAATTATTAGTACCCTCATGTCTTAAGCATTATGCTGAACTAGGAGTATAACATTGTGACTTACAGTTCATGATTTAGTGGGATGGAAAGAAATGCAATAGGTATACTATAATAGTGTCATACAGGTAGGGCCTATATTAGACATAAATAATGCTGTTTATTTATTTATCTCCCTTTGAAATAATAGGTAAAGAAAAACATGAGTCCTAAGACTGATTTCTTAATACACTAAAGATTCTTAACAGAGCTAATTTCAATCAGCTTTTATTTATTATTTTTATTTTTATTTATTATTTTTTAATTGCATTTTAGGTTTTGGGGTACATGTGAAGAACATGTAAGATTGTTGCATAGGTACACACATGGCAGTGTGATTTGCTTCCTTCCTCCCCATCACCTATATCTGGCATTTCTCCCCATGCTATCTCTCCCCACCTTCCCACCCCCCGCTGTCCCTCCCCTATTTTCCCTCGACAGACCCCTCCCTGTGTCCATGTGTTCTCATTGTTCAACACCCACCAATGAGTGAGAACATGCAGTGTTTGATTTTCTGTTCTTGTGTCAGTTTGCTGAGAATGATGGTTTCCAGGTTCATCCGTGTCCCTACAAAGGACACGAATTCATCGTTTTTAATGGCTGCATAGTATTCTGTGGTGTATAGGTGCCACATTTTCCCTGTCCAGTCTATCATCGATGGGCATTTGGGTTGGTTCCAGGTCTTTGCTATTGTAAACAGTGCTGCAATGAACATTCGTGTGCATGTGTCCTTATAGTAGAACGATTTACAATCGTTTGGATATATACCCAGTAATGGGATTGCTGGGTCAAATGGAATTTCTAAGTCCTTGACGAATTGCCAAGGAATCACCACACTGTCTTCCACAATGGTTGCACTAATTTACACTCCCACCGACAATGTAAAAGTGTTCCTATTTCTCCACATCCTCTCCAGCATCTGTTGTCTCCCGATTTTTTAACGATTGCCATTCTAACTGGCGTGAAATAGTATCTCAATGTAGTTTTGATTTGCATTTCTCTAATAACCAATGATGATGAGCATTTTTTCATATGGTTGTCAGCCTCATGTATGTCTTCTTTTGTAAAGTGACTGCTCATATCCTTCGCTCACTTTTGAATGGACTTGTTTGTTTTTTTCTTGTAAATCTGTTTTAGTTCTTTGTAAATTCTGGATTATCAGCCCTTTGTCACATGGGTAGATTGAAAAAATTTTTTCCCATTCTGGTTGCCAATTCACTCTAATGACTGTTTCTTTTGCCGTGCAGAAGCTGTGGAGTTTGATTAGGTCCCATTTGTCTATTTCGGCTTTTGTTGCCAATGCTTTTGGTGTTTTGGTCATGAAGTTCTTGCCTATGCCTATGTCCTGAATGGTTTTGCCTAGATTTTCTTCTAGGTTTATTTTTATTTTTATTTATTTATTTATTTATTGAGACAGAGTCTCACTCTGTTGCCCAGGCTGGAGTTCGGCGTCACGATCTCAGCTCACTGTAACCTCTGCCTCCTGGTTCAAGCAATTCTCCTGCCTCAGCCTCCTGAGTAGCTGGAACTACAGGCATGCACTACCATGCCTGGCTGATTTTTTGTATTTTTAGTAGAGATGGGGTTTCACTGTGCTGGCCAGGTTGGTCTCAAATTCCTGACCTCAGGTGATCCATCAGCCTCCCAACGTACAGGGATTATAGGCATGAGCCACCGCGCCCAGCCTCAGTCTGCTTTTATGATTGTTAACCGTGTGAAAATACTTTTATGGCATAATTAGAAAGAGAATTATATTAGTAGTTATTTTCCCGTTAACTTTTCTTATATCATACAGAAATACCTGGATTTTCTGTAAATCCAAATGACTTAAAATTAGTTTCTCTAAAAATTGGATCATTTGATTGGTATTATATTTTCTCATCTCAAAATGTGCCATTTACTTACTTTTGATTGTTTTATTTTGAAATAATTTTAGACTTATACAGAAGTTGCAAAAATAATACAATAACCATATGTCTTTAATATTAAGGTCTTCTGTGACCATAGATTTGTGATCAAATCCATGCCATTAATGTTGGAACAATGCTGTTAACTACAGACCTTATCAGAATTTCACCATTTTTCCTACTAATATCATTTTGTTGTTGTTGTTGTTCTATGATTCTATCTAGGATAGAATTGGATTTATTTGTCATGTCTCCTTGGTCTCTTCTGATCGCTGACAGTTCCTCAATCATTCCTTGTCTTTCATGACCTTGACACTTTGAAGAGTCCTGGTTAGATACTTTGTGGAATGTCTCTCAATTGGAGTTTGATGTTTTCTGATTGAATTGTGATTATTTATTTTTGAGAGGATTACCACAGAAATAGTATTCCTTCTCAGTGCATTATATCAGGAGTAACACAAGGTCTCCCGTCTTATAGCTGATGATATTACTCTATCACTGGGTTAAAATAGTGTCTTCTGAGTTGCTATTCTATAAAGTTACTATTTTTCCCTTTGAGAGTTATAAATATTTAGGGGAAGATACTTTGACATTATACATATACTCTGTTTCTCTTCAAGCTTCTCTCTACTAACTTTACCATCTATTGGTAGATGGTAGATCTTGCCTGGTAGATCTTGCCTATCAATAAAAATTATTTACTTTGGTGTTCTAATGGTGCCTTTCTAGCTCTCTGATTTCTACTTTAATTGCTTGGAATTCTGTCAGAAAGAACTTTTCTCTTCTATCATTTACTTCTTTATTTCAGTATGACCTGTGAATATTTATATTATTTATAAGTTATTTATAAGAATGCCAATATATTTATAAATATATATTATTTATATAATATATTGACATTTGTAAATAATGTTATAATAATATATGTTATTTATATATTTGTATTTAAACATAAATTATTTATATAGTATTATAATCCCAAACTACTATTATTTATTTTGTTCAAATTTTCCCAGCTTTGGCCATTAGTAGCTCTTTCAGATTGGCTTGTGTGTCCTTTTAGCTTGTCCCTACCCTTTGAGCACTTTCTTACTTTCTGGCACTGCAAGGTACTTCCAGCTGATCTGGTATTTTCCCTTCTCCAGACCTGGAGTCAACCACTTCTTTGAGGAACTGTGGTTCCTCTAATGGAGTATTGTTTTTAGAAACCAAGAGCCAGGCACTAAGCAGGCCATTTGATTTTGATTCTAATACTGTTAGAGTGCTATTAGGAGCAATATTTTATTATTTTATTATCACTAGCTTGTTAAAATGCTTAGCAAAATTCTTTTTAGAACCATCTATGATGTACATTATGGATTACCTTTTTCTTAGAATTGTATTTCCTCTAAAGTTACTGTGATCTTTTAAAATTGGCAAGTATTGCTGTTATGATGGTAGAAAATTGACTATGAATTTATTATGAAAAATGTGTGATTGTAGCAAATACTACTTTATATTTCAAATTCACGTTTCTATGCAGCTTTTAAGTCTAGTCGTTATTCTTTTCTCATGATTAAACATGTTACCATGAGCTTTCTCACTACCTATCATTATGAAAACAAAGTAGAATTTTAGGAATCCTTGAATGATTGT